GCTGACAAAAATTACATGCTTTTATGATAAGGTTTTTTTTTAATTCTAAAATAAACACTCGTAAAATTATAAACGGCGATTTCTTAAACGGTGAGGTATCCAAAGCTTAGTCGACGTAAGACATGAATAAACATGAGATGACACAAGATCAATCAAGAAAGGAAATGATCTCATATTATCTAATTGGAATATATATTAGGGATAATTTAATACCTTCTATGTGACTATAAAAGATTGAAAAAGACAACTAAAATTTACGAATTTTAATATTTTTTTATTTTTATAGTTACTAATTTTGATGAACTTTTATTTTAGTGACTATAAAAAACAATTTTTACGGATTTGGAATTGAAATTGGTTTAGAGTAAATGGACGCATGTATAGATTTTGATGACGTAAACTTTTTAATCTAATATTAACTGGTATATTTATATATAAATATTTTTAAGTTAAAATATGAAATGTAAAAAAATTGTTTTAATTTATAAAAAAATTTGGATACAAATTAATTTATGTCGCCAGAATAGACAATATATTTATTTCTGTATATGTATGTCAAAATCATGTTTATGAATAAGAGTCCAATTTCATTTAACACTTTCTTAAGAACATTAATTTTACAAAACACTTTTGTTTCATTCCTAAATTAATTAAAGCTTAAAGGAGATGATGTGTTGCCGTGTTGGATTATGCTGACGGTAGAATGAAATTTTTATGATTGGTCTCCCACAAACTTTCCGAAATCAAAGAGCACACTTCCGCAAATAAAAAAAAAGTTAAAGCAGAAAGAGAGAGCTTCGATCTTATTAATTTGTGTTCAGTGTTCACTCACTAAACGTATATATTTACAATCTCACTTTTCGCCGAAAGATAAAACGAAGTTATTACATCATCGTGTTCTTACTTATAACATCGTTGACTTAGCAAATTTATACTAACCAACTCAACTATGTAATATTTGACCATGCTTTAATATTAGTGTGAAGACTACCACTCCATTATCGTTAGTTAGCTTTAAAACCAGAGAAGGCTTAAAACCTTAGTTTTATGATACGATTTTTTTTGTTTGTTTTTCATACTTTTTTAGTAAAAGTATTACAATATACACCGTTGTGCATGTCTGGATCTTTATTCCCGGTCCAGAATACGTGCATGCCATGCTTTCATGTCTTTGTCGTCTGTTAATAATATTAATACTAATTAACTCTACGAGACTGTCGATCCCAATGAATTAAAAAAATACACACACATTAACATAATTTTGGTTAAGGTCCTTAAGGAAAAGGTGACGTGCCAGTCTTGGTTAATTATCTTTTGTTTTTGCAAAATATCATTAATACATAGTGATTGACAAACTATTATAATTAATGGTTCTTGTTTGTGTTTAATTTTGTAGTTGTGCAGTGTGTTAGGAATTTTTTAGGGATTAAGTAATA